ATCTGGGACCTCCCCCGTGAGCCAGGACTGTTGGAAGATGATGGAGAGCGGCTTGGCAAGCTCTTCTGCCAGCTCCCTCATTACCCTAGGATGGATCCCATCTGGTCCCATAGACTTGTGAGGATCCAGATGATTCAGTAAGTCACCAACTATTTCCTCCCGGAATACAAGGGGGCTATTTGGTTTCCTTGGTTACAAACTGGTCACCAGGAAGGCCTAGACTAAAACCATCACAGTCGTGCTAGTTTTGGCTGGGATAGAGTTAATTTTCTTTGCAGTAGCTGGTGCAGGGCTGTGTTTGGATTTGTGCTGGAAACAGCCTTGATAATTCAGGGATGTTTTTGTTGCTGCTGAGCAGCTCTTTCCCAGAGCCAAGGCCTTTTCTGCTCGTCACTCCACCAGCGAGGAGGTTGGGGGTGCACAAGGAGCTGGGACAGCTGATCCCAACGGACCCAAAGGATTCCAGACCTTAAGGCCTCATGCTCAGCAGTAACGCTGGGGGAGAAGGAGGAAGGGGGGACGTTTGGAGTGATGGTGTTTGCCTTCCCAAGCTGCTGGGGCCCTGCTGCCCTGGGGACGCTGAACGCCTGCCTGCCCTTGGGAAGTGGGCAGTGAATTCTCTGTTTTCCCGGGTGTGACGTTCCTTTCCCTCTCCCACTGTTTCGATCCCAACCCACAGCGCCGCCGACGCTCCGCCCCCTCCATGACGTCAGCGGCCACGTTCCACCCCCGCCCCCCGCCGCCGTTGGTACAGCCCCGCCCGGCACCGCCCCCGCGCCCGCGCCGCGGTGGTTCAGCCTGGGACGGGGGTTCCGCCACATCCGGCTCCGCCTCCCCCCCCGCGCCGTTGGTACATCCCGGGACCGTCCGGCAGCCGGCGCAGGAGTCGGTGCAGATCAGGCTTCCCCCCCCGTGCCCGCCGCAGTGGTAGAGGCCGCGATCGCTCCTGTCCGTCAGCGCCGCCGCCGCCGCCTCAGTCGGAGCTCGAACCGCGCCCGGCGCCCCGCGCTCCCTCCGGCAGTGTATGCCTGAGCTATAACCCTCAGCCCGCCATGTCCACTCCGGCCCGTAGGCGCCTCATGCGGGACTTCAAGAGGTACCGAGGCCGCGGGCCGAGGGGACGGTGGGGGGAGGGCGGTCGGTCGGAGGACGAGGGGCCCAGCGCTGGCGGGGAGGAGGGGGCAGCACAACATGGCGGCGGGGCAGGGCGCGCTCCGCTGGTGGCGCAGCGCTGGCGGCGCTGCCCGGCGCGGGTTACGCCGTTTGCGCAGCGCGGCCGCCGCCGGCCTGGGTTACGCTGCTGGCGCAGCCGCCGGCCCCGGTACGGCGTTTGCGCAGCCCCGGGCCGGGCTCCGCCGCTGGCAGGGCCGCTCTCACGGTCCGTGTGCCCCGCAGGCTGCAGGAGGATCCCCCGGCCGGGGTGAGCGGGGCCCCCTCCGAGAACAACATCATGGTGTGGAACGCCGTCATCTTCGGGTGAGTGGGGGCGGCGGGGGCCGCTCGGTCGCCGCTCGGGGGGTCGGAGCCGGGCAGCCCGTGAGGTAACGCTGTGCTTTGCTTTCCCTCCTGCAGGCCCGAGGGGACCCCTTTCGAGGACGGTAAGTGCGGCGTGCGGGGCTGGCGTCTGGCGTTCTGGGGGCAGAACTGGTGTGGTTTGACACGGCCCTGGTGTCATTGCCGTGGACTCTGCAACAGGTGTGGGCCCGGGGGGCGGAGGGGGGGCATGGGTCACGTTCACCTGACCACAGGCCCATGTGCTTGACTTAAGTAAATACCCTGTTTTTTTCCTTACTCCCACTTCCAAAACCTGATACAGATTTAG